CAGACCCCTCAGGCAGCTGAACACATGGGTTTAGTTGCTATAAGTTTCTTTGTGGGGCAGCTGACGCACCAGCTCGGTGTTTTTTCGGACTGTCTGGGTCCCGTGCGGTATCATAATCAGTCGGCTGCCCTTCAGGTGTCTTCCAGGAACAAATATGCTGGGCTGCGGAGGGGTTTTTGGGAGATCCAAGGCTCAAAAAACGTCGGCCCTGCGACCCACACCCCTGCCCATCGAAGCATGGATGTAATTGATGCTCTCCCTCCAGAGGAGCGTAGGATAGGACGTGCTAACTTCCATGCGGATCGTTTCGCGAAGGAGGCTCTAGCAATGCACGCGCAGGAACCTCAAGAGTCCTGGGATGACCTCTCGGCCCTGGTTGGCAAGGCCCGAGCTGTGGCCAGTGTGATGGGGGCGGTTTTACCCCTGTTTCCGTTTTCCCAGTTCCCTGAACGGAGAAAGGTTCCTTGCCCTAGGAGCACAGGTGCTAACCGATGGCATGCGTGGACTGCCGTCCCAGGTGCACCAGGCTCCTTCATTTGTTATGATTGTCACGCTCGCCGTACAGGTACTTGTGCTAATGCTCTTGATATGTCGGGCTGCCCAGGGAGGAGGCAGAACTTCTCTTTCCTGAGGCGGCCCGCCCTCGGACATGACCTGGTCTACACACGTCTCTCGTCAGGTCCGAGCTTGGTCTTTTGCAGGCGCTGCGGTGCCTACAGCACTGAGCGTCTCAGTCGTCAGCTTGAGAAGCAGTGCCGAGGCTATGTGGTGTCGTCGGCCAGTAAATGTCGCCTCAATCGTATGCTCCGAGGCCTCCACCCCCAGTCCAATCGTGCCGCACCAGGAGTTGTGCTCCACATTCTAAGTGATATGGAGCGCCAGAGGTTACTCGAGACCCAACAGCGCCCTCAACGTGCTGTGTGGTTTCAGCGTCCTCAGAGTGATCTTTCAGGCACGGGTTTAATTCCAGGACTGGAGGGGATGAGGCAGCGGATAGCAGCACGAGAGGAGGCGCGAGGTTTCCAGGAGCAAGTTTTGAGGGCCCCAGTGCAGCGGTCGCCTGCACTGGAGCCCGATGTCCTTGGGTCCCGAGGCCATGCCCAGGGGTCTGGTGCCCCAGAGCAGGGTCTCGATCCAGAGGAGGAGGCCGCTCGCTTCCTCTATGGATGATAAAACGTTTTGCGTTCTACCCCGCGGGGAAAAAAAAAAAAAAAAAACTCCTCCTCTTGGCCAGGGACAAACGTGTGCCACGCCGAGGCGGGAGCGCCACGTTGAGGCAAGATCTCCGCGGCGCTGGGGCTCCGAGGAGTAAAAGGTGCCGTCTGTCGTGGAGAGCAGGTGCTTCTGGATCTCCGGATCCCAGTCTGCGTTGCGTGCCTTCCTACTTCTGGGATCGATGTGCTCCTGCTGCTTTCTGTTCTTCCTTGTGAGGGCCCGATTCCAATCTACTCTGTCCGCCTTCTTACTTCGTCTTCTTGCCTACTTCTTCCGACCGACGTGTATCCATAACGCTACACTCGCCTCGTTCTCCCCTTTGGGGGGCCTCCTGGGAGGCCCTCGTCGCCACCGCTGGATTCGCTTCGAAATCCTGGTCGGAACGTTCCCCGGGAGAGAAGTCCGGGGAGCAGCGGTATGGGTACCTTGCGGTTCCCCCAGAGGCGGGAGTGACATTTCCGCCCGCTCGTGCGTCAACGAGCTGGTGAGCGAAGAATGTGCGCCGCGCCCGAGCAGGACGTCATCGCTCGGGAGAAGCGGGTGCGACTCCGAGGCGAGAGCGACGTTTTGCTATCTCGTGCGGAGTATTCGCTTCGCCCTGCTGCCACCACACAGGTGTTGCAAAGTCGGCGCCAATGCGTGCATGCTCAAGAGGGAAAAGTCAACTTCGCATTGGCGTTTGATTGGTAGGATGGGACCTCCCAGATGGTTTCGCTATCTGCCGGCATGGGTGGCCTAGTGGGAGTATCGAAGACGCCTACGACGAATCACCGCCGCACCCTGCCTTTGTGGAAGCGCCTATGTGGCCGAACGTTGAGGCCAGACCTGCCAAGCTATCGGACCATGTGTTCCCCGAATCGGTTTGGAAAGCCTTCGGGGAACACGTGGGCATCTTGAAGGTCATCGTGGCAGCCTGGAGGCCATTTTGACTCTTTCGGGCCTTCTTGGAGGACGTCTTGGAGGGCTCGTGGGCCGTCTAGGAGGCCATCTTGAGCGTCTTGGAGGCCTCTTGGGCTGTTTTGGGGGCCTCTTGGGGCCGTCTTGGGCGCCTCTTGGAGGCCTCTTTGGCAATCCTTGGGCGATCTTTGGGAGCTCTTGGGCCGTATCAGGCCGTCGGAAGGCCGAAACGAAGCAAATGTCAAAATCCTTCAAAAATCATTGGGAAATCACTCTTTTTGGCCTTTTTCTGGCCTTCCTGGAGGCTCTCTTGGAGGCCTCTTGGGCTGTCTTGAGCCAGCTGGGGGCCACCTTCGGCCATCTTGGTGGGCTCCTGGCCCGTCTGACGCCGTCGGAAGCCGTTTCGGGGGCCTTTCTGGGCCGACTTGGGGCCCTCTTGGGGTGCTCCAGGGCCGTCTTTGAGGCCATCTTGGGCGTCTTCGAGGCCTCTTGGGCCGTCTTGGCGCCATCTTGGGGCCGTCTTGGGGGCCTCTTGGGCCGTCATGGGGCTATCTTGGAGGCCTCTTGGGCGATCTTGGGGCGACCTTGGCGGCCTCTGGGGCCGTCTTGAGCCGTCGGACTGCCGAGAAGAAGCAAATGCCAAAATCCTTCAAAAACCGTAGGAAAATCAAGGATTTTGGCCTCGTCGGGCCTTCCTGGAGGAACTCTTGGAGGCCTCTTGGGCCGTCTTGGAGGCCTCTTGCGGGCCTTTTGGGCCGTCTTAAACCATATTGGGGCCATATTGCGCCGTCTTGGATGCATCTTGGGGCCATCTTAGCCGTCTTGGTGGCCATCTTGGCCGTCTTGGAGGCATCTTGCAGGCCATCTTGAGCCATCTTCGCGATTTGTTGAGGATGTCCCGAGCGAAACGGCCGTTTTTGGCGATGGCATCCGGGTCTTCCGGGTGGCCAGCGGGACGCGCCGGAGCCCCAGGGGGAGTTCTTTTGGAAAAAGAGCCAAAACCAAAGCCGATAGGATTTAACACGCCAGGCACCCCTTTTTGATAAATCAAAAGGGGGCGGCGGCACCCCTGCGATGAATCGACAGGTGGCGGCGGATCGAATGGCCTTCGGCCCATCCCGCCACCGTGCCTGGGTTGTGGGTATGAAGCAAATTGGATGTTCGTTGGGCCGTTTGGGGGCCTCTTTGGGCCTTTTGGGAGCCTCTTGGGGCTTCTTGGGGGCCTCCTAGGGGGCCTCTGGGGGCCACTTGGGTGCGTCTTGGGGCCTGTTTGGGCGGAAGGCTCGGATTTTCGGTCCCGGCCTCTTGGGCCGTCTTCACTGTCTTGGGGTGGTCTTGTGAGCCTCTTGGGCCGTCTTGGAGCGTCGAAGAGCCGAAAAGGCGAACCGAAGGGAAATCAACTACATCTGCCTTTGAGGGCCTTCTTGGGAGGCCTCTTGGAGGCTTCTTGGGGCGCCTTGGAGGCCTCTTGGGCCGTCTTGAGGCCATCTCAGGCGTCTTGGAACGATCTTTCGGCAACTTGGGGCCCTCTTGGACCGTCTTGTGGCCCTCGTGGCCATCGTTGACCCGCCTTGGAGGCACTCCCAGGCCCCAGAAAAGCCGCGCGGGGAGACGCGACGAGCCCCCGACCAGACGCGAGCCGCCCCGCCAGATGTTTCGCAATCTGGGCCCCGGGTCCCTTCGAGACTCTTCGGGGGGGGGGGCTGAGGCTCGGGGGCTAGGGCAAAGAAGGCAGGTTTGAGCTGTCCTCACTTGTTGCTTGCAAGTTGTGTTGTGCTCGTCGACCCTTCATGCTGTGCCTTGTGTCTTGCGGATGTGGCAAAGGACCTGAGGGCACGCCCGCTCCGTGCCCAGCGGCACGTTGTCGGACATACCAGTGAGGGGAAATGAGTGGTTGACTCAGAAGCAAGGGTAGGGTCAAAAAAAAAAAGCTACGCTCAAGAAACAAGGGTAGGGTCAGGCTAGCATGTTCGAACGAGTCGGCCACGCCCACCCTCCCTTTGAGGCGTGTCACGCGTGTGAGTAATTCTGGGCTGAGCATGCGGGGCCCATGTGAAGATCAACCGCACACGCCGTACACCCAAAACCCCTCCCTTACGCCAGGCCGGCACGAGTGACCCTCGGGACCGGCGCGTGCCTCCGCTCAGCGAGCCAAGAGCGCTGGCTTGCGCGCGGCTCCCCGCGTACATGCCCGCTGCCGACGGCCCGGTGCGCCGCGCCCAAGCAGGGACGCACGCCTGCAGGAGAAGCTGGGATCCGCTGCACTCCGCTGGCTGCCTCGCGGCCCAGCTTCCCGCAGGAATGGAGAGGTAGTCCAGGTCTCCGCCGCGCCCGAGCGTCAGCGCAACTTGCAGCGCACCTTGTCCGGGACATCTGCGCGGCGTGTGGGCGAGAACGGTACACCGCTGTCTCCGGCAACCTGAGTCAGACGATTCGATATCAGGAACAATGTGCGTCGCGCCAAGCGCGGGGGATCTTAGCTCCCAAAGAAATCGAAGCGGGGTTGCGGCGATAACAACATTCCGAGATGGAGGTGGAGCGGGAGGGAGAGAGTTGGGAGTTGGAGCGACAAAGGAAGAGGGGGAGATGACTCGCCCGTGTCGTCGCTGTCTGCAGAGGCCATTGCATTGGACGATGCTGTGGCCCATGTTCCTCACATCGCTTCCGCCGGAGTTGGCCAGGCGAAGCGAGCTATAGTGACCTCCTGACACACACTTTTTTGTGATCGTCCAGGCCCTTTCGCTGTGCCGTCCGATGCGTCCAACAGAGCAGAGGCAACGTGAGAGCAGGATCAGCAGGAGGAGGTACAGAGGCAGCAGGGAGGAGCAGCGGCAGGAGGAGGACGACAGGCAGGGGCTGGACCGAGTGACCCGTTTGAGCCCCGACAGGTGCAGTGAGCGCGCCGCGGCTTCATCCGCTTGGCCCCCCATTCGCTCCGCCCGCCACGACCGCCCGAGGCGCAGCAGTCGCCGTCGTGCAGAGTAGTCGCCGTCGCAGAGGCCCGGCGGACGCGCCGCCGCAGGGCGGGCGCGCGGCCGTGGACCGCTCGGCGAGTGGGACTTGTTGTCCCCCTCCTTGCCTCCGCCTCCCCTTCCTCCTCCGCTCTCTCATGCTCGTGCGCTCCAGCCAGTTGCCGCTTCTCACATCCTTTGCCCCTCGGCCTCCTAGGGGTCTGGAGCTTGCGCTGCCACGTCGAGCACGGCACTGTTCGCCCATGTCTGGCAGGGGGTGGGCCGGGCCTGGGGTTGCCGATCGCCCGTTTCTCCAGACGGGCCAGTGCCCGCTGCATCCGCCCGAGGAGGGTGGGACGCAGGTGCGGCGGCGACGGCTCTCAGGCCTCCCGGCGCTCCTGGGCGAAGCAGTGCCGCCGCTGCCATTGCCGAGGCCGGGGCTCCAGAGGCCCCCGGGGGGGTGGGGGGTTGCACAACAAGAGGCAGCTGGCGTCGCCAGACACAATGAGGATCTTTGAGTTTGTATTCAATGCCCATGTCTAATTAGCGTCCGCAGCACGAATTAGCGTCGGCAGCGCTAGTTAAGGAATTCATTAAATACAGTACATTCGATCGTGTTGTCGTGGCCCTGATTCAAACATTGAGATCACGATGTAGCGTGGTCGACACAAAATAGTGTCGCACACGCGAATAAATGCCGACCACGCTAGCAATTTCCTGCAATAAGGGGCGAACATATCTTCATGGCGCACGCCAGAGTTTCCAGGCCTCACACATGGGTTTGGAGCAGATGGGGTTGCAGGCTCATGCGCATCGCTGATGCATCGACGATGTGGCGCGATCTGGATCCCGATGATCTCCACGCCGACGTGGCCGACGCAACGGCGATGCATTGGCGATGCAGTGCTATTCGCCGGCCCCATCTCGGCACCATGGCACCGCTCGAGACTTGGAGGAGGGGCCGGCTTCGCGGACATTCGCACGTGAGCTTCCCGCGTCAGGCTGCGCGTGGACGCCTTTCTCTCCGCACGGTGTGCCGCGTGAGCGGCCCGCGTGTGCTTTCCCGTGAGGGGGTCGCTGTTTCCTCACGCAGAAGGCCCCCCCTCTCTTCGTGGATCGCCTGTGCGGCCTCCGGTTGTGTGCTCGGGGGCCCCAGCGCCCAGGGCTCTCAGGGCGAGGCCTCACGGCAAGCGTTACGATGCTCCAACCTGCTTTAGCCTTGATCGCCAGAAAGAGTGTCGAGCACCAAGAAAGTACCGAAACTGGAGGGTTCACGTGCCGGGCCCTGGGAGGCGATACTCGCTCGACAATGTTTCGATACTGTTCGGGGTGCTCGAAATTACTTCAGGGATGTGTTCCTTAACTGCGATGGGAGCAACATAAAAGGGCCCGGGGAGTGCAGGGCCCAAGGTCAGCCAGGAAGTTTTTGATGGATCGCCGTGGCCAGTCTGGGCGAGAGCCGGATGCACGTGGGCGCCAGCGCCGGTGGAGCCCTCGGAGAGCCCTCTCGACGTTGGAATGCCTGGGATGAGTTCCGCGCCCTCGCCCCTGCGGGTGCTGCCGGCGCCGAGCAGCCGTTGCCGCGCACACCTCGGGCCGCATGTCCCTCGTGCGCTCGGCGTGCCAGGCACTCCGCGTGTGCATCCAGCGCGTGGCCTCCGAGTGTTCCACGCGTGAGCCCAGGCACGTGTGCTACCAGCGGGCAGATTCCAGGGCCGGGCAGGGGGGTCAGAGATGCTGAAGATGTTCGTCCCCAGGGGGGCACCAGCTTTCCCAGCCCTCCTGTGCTGGGTTCTCGTTTGGAACAGAGCACTGTTTGGTCCAGCCTTCCTCTTCCCCAGTGGCTGGGCGCAGCTCGAAAAACTCGCCAAGCCCGGGGGCAGTGAACAAAAACGGCTCAGGACGAGAAATTTGCTCAGTCAGCTGGGAATTTAGTGGGCTCCTGGGAGCTCCAACGGAGTGGGTAGACACGCAGATCCTTGCGAGACCTCGCGGCGCGACTTTGACGTGACGGCGCAATGCTTGGTACGACGACCAACCGAATATGAAAGGGCGTACGCCCACCTGGCGCGTAGCGCCGTCCCGTCACTTAGCCCGCGGCGTTGTCGCATCACAGAACACGAAGCGCTGGAGCGTCACGTTGCCCTCGTCCAAAAGGCGGGTGGGATCATTGGCGAGGATCGGCCTGCGTCTGCGATTTGACATCAGAAAAGCAATCGGCTTGCCAGCAGGTGCGGCACGGAAAGTCCTCGTCCCCCGATGGCCTCAGCGACCCACACAGCAGCTCTGGGGAACTACGAAGAGTGTCCCCAAGACTTTCGTTTCAGAATGGGGTGGCCGAACGGTCATTCACTGTCCCTGGGTGCGTGGCTGAAGTGGGAGTCATGGGCCTGGATTATTGCTGCTTGTTGTTTGTTGTCGTCGTCCTCGCCCGCGACCCCCCGGGACCCCGCCGCGACCCACCTGGCGACCCAGCTGGCGACCCACCCCGCGACCCACCCGCGACCTCCCCGCGACCCACTCAGCGACCCATCCGCGACCCACCCCGCGCCCGCCCCCATCACTCTTATCCGCAGCTGCGGGGCACTACACAGCAAGATGTCTTTTCGTATGTGTCCGCAGCAATGCTGCGGGCATCCTTTCCCGCCTGCTGGTTCTCGCTCCTGCCCGTGCCCGCGCGCGTCTGCGCGCCGAATTCCCGTCCCGCCCCGTTCTCCGGGAGCTTGTACAGGCCAGACTGGGAAGCGGAGGAAAAAGCTGTCTGGGAGACAGCGGAGGTCAGGGCTCGCATCGTGGACGCGCGAGCAGCGATGCGGGCAACGGCGACGCAGGTCTCGGCATTACAGTCGGGATTGTTTGGTGGCCAAGCCTATTGCAGGACAGCGTCTTTCATGCTCTCCTGCAGCTCACTGTGTCGTTTCTGCTCGGTGCATTCGCGTACGGATGTGAGATGTAGGAACTTGTGGTTCGCGATGTCCGGCAATTTGTTCTGAGTTCGGTGTCGCAACGAGCACATAGAGTCCCAACATCGACGTTAGCGCGGTCTTGCGTAGCAGGGATCATTCGGATGCTCCCTTTGCGGGTTCTCTTGTTGACGGTCACTGCGAATATGAGGCTCCTTGTTGTTGCCCAGCATCGTCACCACGATTGCTCTGATGACGCGTGATGCGTCGTGGCCGATCACGACTGCTCAGATCGGCGGCGAGCACGGGGGGAAGTGAGAAGGGGCGAGCCTTCGCTGAAGGCTCGGAAGTCCCCTGGCCTCCTGAGAAGTTCTCTAAGCCTTCCCCGAAGGTATAGAAGACTTTTGGGAGGCGCGAGAGCTTTTGAGAACTCCCGCCGCCTTCTGAGAAGGCCTTCTCCTTCTCACTTCTCCCCCTCGCTGGCCGCCGATCTCCGAGGTGAGGGGCGGGAGTGGGCATGGGACGCTCGTTCGTGCGATGGCCCGGGCCCCTTTGGGGCTGAGCGGGCTGCGAGCTTGCTCACAGAGCCGGCGGTGGCGGCGGAGGAGCAGGGGGCGGAGGCGGCCGCGGGAGGGGGGGCGCCGGCCAGGACTCCCAGAGCCCTTCGCTCGCCGCCGATCAGAATCGACTTGGCGGCCTGAGCACTGAGAATTGATTCAACGAGATCAAACGAGATGTGAATGTTTCTCCACTGGACTCGGGTCTCTCCAGAACTACTGGAGAGCAGCAGTCAGACGCTATGCTAAGCTGCTGGGCCTGGGGCGCGGTAAGCGCCACCCTGATCCAAAATGCCTACTGCCGGGCATGGGGGGAGTCTGAAAACCAGGGCAGGACGCCAAAATGTTACGACGGATTTGGCAAATTAGCTCAACAACCCGCCGGTGAATTCGTATCGTCGCCTGCCTGGCATTGCAGATAAATAGATACAGCCTCCGCCGCACCCAACCAACCTCCATTAACTTGCAGCACGCTGCACAACTTGGACAAACGGTGGGGACGTTGCCACCCATGCTGGACGGATTTCGGGAACCTTGCCGAAAAACCTCTTGCATGTGTCCTGTGCCAGGGGATTGCTGAGAAAATCCTGGAACAATCTTGAAATCCCCACGCGGGCCCACACGGGGTCAAAAGGGCACCTTACCCACATTTTCCAGCACCTGGCCTCATTGGGCCGGCGCTCTCTGTCGGGTTTGGGCGACCACGTGCTGAGATGGTTGACGTACGCTCTCGGGAAACCGAATCGCGAAAGCCTGTCGAGGAACACCCCGCGGGCCTCGGCGCTGATGGCCGTGCTCGAAGAATGTCTGTCTAGCCTCGCAAGCTCGGCTTGCGGCCACGCCACGTGTACAGACATGGGATGTGATGAATTACACGATAGAGGAACTCCTAAGCTAGTGGGTTTCCAGATGGGCTTGTAATCCAAAAGGCCATGCTTTTGAAACCTGGGGCCCTTGAAAATGTGGATGTCGAGAAAATCAACCCCACGGAACGAATTCCCTTCTACTTTGCACCTGAAGCACGTGTCATTCTGCACTAGCCACTGGTAGCACTGCCAATAGCTCCGCATCACCCCCTCGGCGATGATGAGGATGTCGTCTTTGTAGCGGCAGTACAAGAGAATGCCGTGCTCGGCCAGCCAGGAGCTGCTATCGACACGGCCTCTTTCAAGACTATCGTAAAACCCTGCGTCTGATAGATCGCCAGAGTAATTCATTCCCATGCCGGATCCAACGATGACTTTCCAGAGCTGGTCGGGGAAGAAATCGCTTACGATGTACTGGTGATCTAAGAGGAACTCGGACACGCGCCGAGCAGCAGACTTCAGATGAGGGGGCGCCACTCGAATTGCACCTGACACAAGTGTGGACGGGTCGCCAGACATGAAGAAGTCCCGCACGTCGAACCTGAGAAAGGCAACATTCGCAGCGAACGTGGTCTTGTTCAAAACCTCGATCAATTGTTCTGTGCTCGACAATATGTACG